TTTCTACTTGGATGTGCTGCTTCTCAGATGGGGGACTTTGGCCACATTATTTAAGCTATATGAACTACAGTTTTCTTATCTGAAAAATAAAGATAACACTACTACTACCCTCATAAAGTTGTTCTAGTATTAATTTAGATCATGTGTATTAAAGTCAGTTTGTAAACTATGTGGTAGATGACAGTAGCTACTATTACTATCAATTAATATTACCAGTTGAGAGTTACAAAGCATTGAACTTGGCCCTATTTTAGTCAACATTTTATCAAGACATGGATGAAGATAGAGGAAACACTCTTGTCAGATTTGCAGGTGACACAAAGCTGACAGTGACAGCCAATAATATGTTTGATGAGTCTTAAGTCTTCAGCATAATTCAGAATGAATGCCAGTCATGGGACAGTCATAATGATTTTGACAGACAGGGATATTGGACACAACCTAGAAGAAAAAAATTTGCTGAGACGGAAGGATCGCCAGAGCTTAGCAGGTTGAGGCTGCGGTGGCCAGGAGCGGCCACTGCACTCCAGTCTGGGCAACGAAGTGAGACTCCAACTCAAAAAAAAAATTTTTTTTTATCAAGAATGAACTTCTATGTATGTGCTTGGCTAAACACAAAATTCTGTAAGGCCAGAATAAGGATGCAATTCACATGGAGGATCTGAGAGGTTTGACTACAAGCATAGTCTGGAAGAGTATATGAGACAGCTGCAGAAAAAGACAACAGAATCGTAGGTTGTATTGATGGAAGCCAAGTTGACAGTACTCCTCCTGGGCCGGTGCCCATCTGGAGCCACTTGTTTAATTCTGGAAAGGGTATATAAAGGACAAACAAGATGACGTGATTTCTAGTAAGTGACAAATGGTTGAAGGCATTAGAAGTGCCTGGAACAGAGAAGAATATAAATAGTGGTGGTAATAATTACAATCCCCACCACCACAGAAACAGCTAATACTCACTGAGTAATTATATACTCAGTGTTGTGCTAAGTTCGTTATCTATGTTACTTCTTTTAATTATTTGAACTTTGTAAGTCAGATACTAGTATTATCCCCACATCTTCATTTCATAGATGAGAAAACAAACTTAGAGAAGAGAGTAAGTGGTTCATTCAAGGCTCTATAGCTAACAAATGAGGGCGCATATATTTGAACTCAGGCATTCTTCTCCAGAACAGGAATTTTTAGCCAACATACTATTCTACTTTCTGAAATTAGGGATGGTAAGTTAGCTAACTTAAAATATTTGAAAGACTACTTTGTGAAAGAGGGATCAGTCATTGCTGTATATTTTTAGAAGGTAATGCTAGTCCCAGGCAGTATAAAATCCAGGGAGATTCAGGCTAGGTGTTAGGAAGTGGGTCTAACATGGACTGTGGAATGGGATGCAATGCAGAGTCTATTTCTCCATCTACTTCAGGCAGAGATCGGATGACCACCTCTTACAGCTTCCCCTAACACTATGAGGTTGCCCTTCGTAACCTCAATGACTCATTCAAGATTCTACATTAGACTCATCTGCCAGATGCCTGTAATCCCAGCACTTTGGGAGGCTGAGGAGGGAGGATTGCTTGAGTCCAGGAATTCGAGATTGGCCTGGGCTACATCATGAAACCTGTCTCTACAAAAGAGAAAAATATTAGCCGAGTATGGAAGCATAGGCCTGTAGTTGCAGCTATATAGAATGCGGAGGTGGAAGGATCACCTGAGCCCAGGAATTTGAGGCTGCGGTGATCCGTGATCATTGTGATCATGCCACTGCACTCCAGACTGTGTGACAGAGTAAGACCTCCATCTCAAAAAATAATAACAATTAGAGTCATTCGTGGCCAAATGCATTAATTGGGGCTCATGACCTCAAGCGGCAGGATCCCCAGCCAGCTGCAGCAGAACGTGTGCGCTTTCTTGGAAGAGCAAGGGTGCAGTTTACCCTCAGTCGTAAGGAACCAGGAATGTGAGACCTGTAGGGCTTTCTCTTCAACTCTTGCCGCCGCTTGTCTTCACTGACATTCTTCTGTCTTATCAGAAATCAGCTTTTATCTTATGTCAGAAAACACAGTCACTGGCAAGGCCTGACCTTGTTTTGTTCCCACTCCCCACGCCCCCCAAATAGTTTGTCAATAAAGATGAACTACCTCTTTAGTATCAAGGCAAAACAAAATAAAACAAAAAATAACTAATCTTCACAGTCAAGGTACAGATTGACCCAATTTAAGAGTCAGCACGCCTATACCACCATCATGTGGGGCTAGGGAGATGGCAGGTCTCATAGGAGCAATTCAGATGGATCAGAGAAGGACACACAGCTAAGTAATAGTGTCCCCTGCCCAAGGCAAAATAACAGGAAGCAGGTACTCAAACAGGGTTAAGGGTACCATTATTTTAAAGTCTTTTTAACTCAACCAGATGCAAACTAGAAGCATAATTTCAGAACTCAGGCCTCTTCCATGTTGATGACAGGAATCTTTCTGAGAATATTGGAGAGGGACATTTACTGTTAAGGCTGAGAATATGGCACCTCTAATGTGCTCAGCACTGTGCCAGGTACTACCCTGGGTACCGAATGGCAGGCTTTGGTTCCTGTGTTCAAAGACCTAACAACTTAATGGGATTAAGGACTGAGTAGCATCCAGAGAGCCATCTGAAGCATAATTACATAGAAGATTAGCCCTTATCAATGATACAGTCATTTGCAACTGTATCCCACTTCAAGCTTAAGTCAAAACTAGCTTCCCCACAAAACTCTCAGTGCTTTAGAAGCAGCCCAGGATGCAGAAATCTAGTCATTCATTCACTCAACTAACCAGCTCTTTTTATGTGCTCAACAGTTTTAGACCTTATAAAGTAAAAAGTGAGAATGAGTCCCTTCTGTCAGATTTCTTACCTGTTGTTCTCTCTGCCTGGAATATTCTTCATCTCCTCCCTGCCTCCCACTGCCATCTTCTCCTTATACTTAACTGCTGTTCATTTTTTAAGACGGAAACCTTCTCTTCCTGTCTAGGGTTTAAACTCTTTATTGTGGGCTCCCCTGGCACCTTGAGGCTTCACTTTAGGAACATTATCAAACTTGTACATTTTTACCCAATGTGTCTTTCTTTTTTTTGAGTTGGAGTCTGACTCTGTTGCCCAGGTTGGAGTGCAGTGGTATGCTGATGGCCACCACAGCTTGACCTGCTGGGCTCAGACGATCCTTCCGCCTCAGCCTTCCAAATAGCTGGAGCTACAGGTACAGGCACATGCCACCACGCCTGGCTATTTTTTTGATTTGTTGTAAAGGTGAGGTCTTGCCAAGTTGCCCAGGCTGGTGTCGAACCCCTGGGCTCTCAGGCAATCCTTTCACCTTGGCCTCCCAAAGTGCAGGAATTACAGGCTGAATCGCCGTGTCCAGTCCGTGTCTTCTGTAGAGGAGTAAAAGCCCCATGAAGACAGGGCCAGTGCTTGTTAAGTTCATTACTATGCCTGAAGCAGTGCTTCAAAAACAGCAAGGGATAAATAGACATTTATTGGACAAGTATTTATTAAGCATTTGTGTCATGCATTGTTCTTGGCACCGAACAAAATACAAAAGAGGAAAAAAAAATGGGCATGATCTCTGCCCTGAAGGAGCTTAAAGTATTGGGGTAATGATGTAAGAGTATCTAGCTCAAACTGCTTATATCCCAGACCAGGAAAGTGATGCTCTAGAGGGGAAGTGACTCCAGTTAGGCTACGTGGAGACTGAGTGGCACCGATGTGCTTGTTTATTTTTAAAATTTCCTGTTGCATACTTCTCAACACACATTTCACAATGTGTAGTGGGCATGCGAACTCGTTTTTTCAGTCCATGGAGGTCAGTAGAGAACTGAGGGCATCATGAGTGGACTGAGTGGAGACAAACATATAGAGCACATGAGGTTTACGTGCACAAAATGTGAAAGGCCAAGTCAGTCACAGGCTGACGGCACTGGTGGTTTCTTGCCTAATTCTGTCATAGCCCCACCATCATGTCCTTTATTGCCACTTGTGGAGCTTGGCATCTGGAGTCCCTGGGAATGGGAATGTGTTGGCGCCGATAGCAGCTGTGCTGTTGGGGTGTAGTCAGAATTGCTGGAAGAGCTCAGTCCTGAGCTGGGGGTTGCAAGAAGGGCCTTGCAGGGGTCGCTTTTGAGAAAAGTAGGGCTCTTAGGAGAGGGCATGTAAGAACGGCCAGGGAATTTTTATAATAGGAATGTACAAACAGTCAAAAAACAGCTCCTCAGGGTAGAGGGTGCATATGGAATAATGAAAACAAATTACGGGATAGATATGAGAGACTGGACTGGAATGGAGTCCTTGGAAATGGAAGAATTGGTTTCCAAGAATGGAGAGAGAACTAGGCTTGTATTTCGGTCAGATTACCAATGGTGAATTCAAACTAGCTTTGAATTCATGGCTTGGGGAAGTCTCCCGGAGAACGGTGCTGGGGCTCTTGCTTCCAGAAGTTATGGAGAAACTCCCTCGTCCATCGATACTCACATAACAGAAGCCAGTCTCTGCAGAGGTTGTTGCATGCCATTACTCTACGTCTCCCCAAATGAAAATGCACCCCTCCCCAAGCCGAGCTGACACATGCTGTCTAGAGCCAGCCGCCGCCTCCACTATCTTCCCCTCAGGAACGGCAAAGCCTGTGCGTGCATCTTTGTGACCCTGCGGTTGTTGATGGCCATGACTAAGAAATCACACTCATTTCACTCACAAAATCCGTGAGTGGTTGACTCGTTTAATCAGAAAGCACCTCAATCCAAAATGTTTAAAAAACATGTTTAAAAAACAGCAACTTTTTTAATCATGAGAGAATTCCTTTGGCACTGCAAAGACATGCCCTACTGAGGGCCAGGGCTAAGACCAGTCATTCACTTATGTAGCTGAGAGGTAGGAAGCGGTCACTTCGCTGTCATTACGTGACATGTGAGTTCGAAAAATGAGCAGGCTCAGGGTGTGTGGGCAGAGCAGACGTCAGAGAAAGCACTGCAGACAACGTCTGTAAAGAAAATGTTTTATTTAAAGTGTTAAATACCATCACCAGAATGAATTTGATTTACATTAGTTGGTGTTCATTACAAGACTAATCTGCCCTTTTTTCCCAACTGGAATTCCCTTTACTTTGCAGACATACTGTATGTACAGGGCAGCCATGGTCACTGGCGTAGTGCTATTTACATGACGAAACCACAAGTTGAGGTGCAGACATGTGAAAATTAAAAAAAAAAAAACACCAACTTTTAAATAAATACTGCATAATGACAAGTATGTACAAATATTCCATACAGTCATGTCCTTCTTATTAAAATTAGAAATAATTTGTATAGGAATATGCACAAAAGATTATGTGACTGCATCTTAGTATCAGGAAAATCGTAAACGTTTATTCTAAGGGATAGTATAGACACTATATGTCTATTAAATCAATTGTTGCTGGTACACAGGTGTCTAAATTATTTCAATAAAGTTTTATTCATTCTTTAAAACAGCTTTACCTGGGCCCATCATAGATCTCAGAACGTCAAGACACAGTCTTGGTGTATTTCATATTGCACCACATAAAGAGAAGGCATTTTTAGTGATACTCATATTTTAACTTTTGCACCGTATCAAGCATGATAGTTTTTAATGGTCAGCACTAAATTAAAAAAAAAAACAATTTTTTGTGCATGGCCTTAATTTAAACAAATGAGAGGCAAGCAGATTTCAAAACTTATTGCAAAAAATGAAAATCCAGCTATAATAGTGCTATCAAAATATACATAAAGAACCAGAAAGTATGGGCAGTTGATAATAATAACCAGTGACTTCTCCTCTAAAGAGGGGAACTTAAGAGAAATCTGACCTTGCAGCGCCACCCAATGGTAATAACTGTCCGTAAAACCAAAGGCAGGGGTTTTGACTTTAGGGGGTTTTTGAGTAGACTTTTGGTGATGGCATCAAAGAACTATTAATAGTCATATTGACTTTCTTTGAATCACCTAAAAATTGGAGATTTAAAATTGTTTCTTGCAAATTTATGTTTACTATATTTCTTTAGAAATATACTTTGTGAAAAATTGAATTTTACTACAGAAAAATGAATTAATAAACATCCCTGTGTTTCAGGGCTCCACATTTTTAGCAGTGTTTCTATTCACATAGTAAATGGAAACTGGCTAAAGAAATTGCTCTAACTAATTAAAAAAACAAACAAAATCTAAGACCTTCTACAAATAATATTTTAACCCCTGTATGAATAATGCTGGTGCTAAAAACAAATTTATTAGACATTACGATGGCCACATGATTTTAGGATTTTTCCTGTAAACTGAATTTTGAAGGTGAAAAAAAAATTACCATGCACTGTACAATAAATTGCAAAAGTTCAAATATCTTCGTCAAATACATGCTGACTTACTTTAATGTACTCCCAAGTCATGTTGCAAAATCCTTTTCAACATGCTTGAAATAAAGAAAGTTCTTAAATAGGTGTTTGTCCCTTGAGAAATTCATAAATTCAGAAGCATTTACAGCTCTGAATCAAACATGGGGTATAAGAGAGAATCAGATCTAAAACCTGGAATTTCTTAATATAAGGTTCACTCTGGTTGGGAGAAAGAAAACAAATTATATTAAAAGAGGCAGAAGAGTAATAGTGAGGGAAGAAAGATGTGAAAAATTTGCACATATTGAACCTCATAAGATTTGTATATTTAACATGGAAATAAATGGAATATATTATACTTATTTGTCACATAAAGAGAATTTTAAGTTATCTTCTAGAAAGAATTTCCACTTGTAATGTCTGCCAAAACACAGACTATGATTACTTTAAAGAATAAACATGGTGTGTCTTTGTATCACCTGTTGCATTCTCTCCCCTTTTTAAAACCATGCACTAGTGAAATTTATTTTTAAAAATAATATAAATTGTTGAAAATGGCTGATTTTTATTCTTTTTTTGCAAGTTGCAGCCCCAAGAAAATAATTTAAGTATTCAGCTAATCCGTGTCCATGCAAAAAAAGTTTCTTTAATTTCATTCAGTACAGTGCAGCCACAGAATTTGGTTTTGCAGAGTCCAACACATCTTGGCATGAGTGAAAGGCGGCCTGTGAACTCCAAGTTTGCTGCTCCTCCCGCTGGCCTAGACGCACGCACCGCCAGCCAGAGGAGGGCCGATGCTTTGTTCCCGACCACTTCTTTGGTCTCCGGCTTTTCACCTGATGCTTCTTAGGACTTCGCTCCTTGACCTGTAACATGGCTTCATGGCTGTACAGCTCCATTTCTGTGGCATAACAGGGCTTTGGGATCAGATAAATGAAGAAAAAGGAACGATAGAAATATAAAGGTGCCATTGAAAAGGGTTTTTGTTGCATGAAACTGACTGATTCTTTGAGATTAATCCATGGCTTCAGATTGGACCAAAACGCGAGTGCCACTGAACTCCAAACCTGATAGTTCTTTGTAGCTCTGCTCTTTCACCTGAGGGCCTTCTTTAGGGCACAATGTGTGCGACTTCCTCTGAGAACACAGGATCGCTTTGTATCCCTAGAAACAGGCTCAGAAGACACAACATTAAGCATGCAGTGTTACCAGGGTTTGCGACCTGTGATTTTTTTTTGTAACGCTGGTTGCTGTGACAACAGTTTTACAGCTGCTATGAACGAGAGTAAGAAGGTCCGGTTGAACTTTCCAGAGATGACTGGGAAGCTCTTCTTGTCAGAGGGGCCAAGGTTGGATCTACTAGGGAGGAAGGGGGGAAAAGTTTGAACCATCCGATCACCATATTGGATAGCTCTAGTTCATCTAAAAGTATCTGGGCCACTCCCATAAAGGATTTGTGATCCATGCGGCCATAGTCTCCCCAGACGATGATCTGTTGGCAAAATAAAAAGTAATGTCAGTATAATATTAACAAAAAATGTGTAAAATACATAAAAATATTATAATATATTCAGTTAATGTTCTGACATCAAAGATCCAGTAAAGTCATTATTATTATTATTTTTTGAGTTGGAGTCTCACTCTGTCACTCAGACTGGAGTGCAGTGGCCGCTCCCCGCCACCGCAGCCTCGACCTGCTGGGCTCCAGCAATCCTTCCACCATAGCCTTCCAAGTCGCTGGAATTACAGGTGTGCGCTACCATGCCCAGCTAATTTTTTTTTGTTTATTGTAGAGATGAGGTCTCACCAAATTGCCCAGGCGGGTCTCGAACCCACGGGTTCAGGAAATCCACTCACCCCAGCCTCCCAAGGCGCAGGATTACAGGCTGAGCCACCGAGCCCGGCAAAATCATTATTTAACTAATGAGATAGTTGTTTTAAACTACTTACTGGAATCCAAAGATACATTAGGGAAACTGCACTGGAATGTAAGATTATAAGCAGTCCAGGGAGACTGGAGTTTCAGTGTGATGGGGTTTTGCAAGTCTATAATTCATTTGAAAGAAAATGACAATTGGCTGGGTGCGATGGCTCATGCCTGTAATCCCAGCACTCCAGGGGGCCGAGGTGGCAGGACGGCTTGAACCCAGGAGCAAGACTGGCTTGGGCAACATAGCGAGACCTCGTCTCTACCAAAAATCAAAACATAAGCCAGGCATGATGTCATGTGCCTGTAGTCCCAGCAACTTGGGAAGCTGAGGCAGAAGGATCGCCTGAGCCCATGAACTCAAGGCTGCGGTGAGCTGTGACTGTGCCACTGCACTCCAGCTTGGGCAACAGAGTGAGACCCTGATTCAAAAAAAGAAAGAAAAATGAAAATAACAATTCATGTAGCTTTAGACCACTGGCCACTGCTTTGACATTTCCAAAAGAATCTCAGCTGTGAGAAACATAAAAGACATGATAAAGATTTTGGGTACAATGTCCGACTCCATGAAAATACTTTCTTAGGTAAGGGATAAACAGTTAAGTACATACCTGTAAAACCTTTCCCTGGGGACTCTCCTCGAAAGATAATAACTGCTGGTAAAGGGGTTCCAGCGTTTTTCTTGCCACTTTTGTTTTCTTTTTGGCTATGCAGACTCCGTTATCTAATAGGTACACCTTTACATACGGTGCTTGGGAAAAAGACCACAGAGAAGAGTAAGTGATGAGCTATGGGTTCGGGAGGCCTGACTCACGTGTATCTGCAGCAGCCGCCTCCTGGGCTGAAGAAGCTAGTGGTCAAGCCATGGCCTGGCCACGTGCTGTCAAATCATCAGACCAACAAGGGACCACTGTAAGTCATTCGGTTTTAGGGAGAGGTGAAACAGCCTCTGATTTTATGATTATTTTGCACCAAATGGTTACATAGACTTAAACATTGCCACGATTGCTGTGCGATAGATAAGATATTTATTATAATTTAGAATTTCTGCACAGAAATTACAAGTCAGTCAATGGAGTTGCTGAGGTCAGAAGCCAAGTTTCAGAACCTTCAGCAACTGTTAAGGATTGAATCCTCAGCAACTGAATCTCTAGCAATCCATTCAGTCAAAGGACCCCTACACAATTCATCGGAAGTCATTATGGCATTTTCCATGGCTTAGGTACCTCAGCGTATAACAACACTTCAGTATAAACCAGTTAGCATAGGAAGCTACAGTAGAGCCTCTCTTTCCTTATATACTACAGGAAGTAAAAGTCTTATAATTAGAATATCCAGCAGACATAGGCTTATGCTATCATTGGGGCCTGTATCTATTTTTATTCTAATTTCAGAGCTCTAGGGATTCCAAGGAGAATTTGTGAAGCTCCGGATAAACTGAAGACTAACACAAAACAGATAACAAGAAAAAATAACTTCTTGTCTACATGTTGTAACAAAATGAATTATTTAAGTTTGGTAGTTTTGCTTTTGCAGTGGTTTCTATACACATGTACTTACTTATCAACTTACATTATCCTGACCAGATCACTCTTATCGAAAGCTCATTCAGGATAAACACACACACTAATATAGCCCCAGATCAGTTATAATTGACTCACCTATAACTAAATTTGATGAACTAAGAACAAGATTTTCAGCAACAAATCAAAAAGTCTCCATAAAACAATATGGATTATAGACAGTAAGAGAAAAACCTCTTCTGTTTTTACCTGGCAGTGTCTTGGAACCTGGTTTTACAACAAGGCCTCGGGCCCGGATGATTTCCACCTCCAACTGTCCCTTTTTGTCCATCATTCCCACCTGAATGTCACCTAATGGTACATGGGGAAGAAACAGACATGCTTCAATATACAGATGCAGGAAGGAAAATGTTTGTGTCAAAGACCTTGGTTTTACATTATTTCCCATAGATTTTCTTAAATTCAAATACATTTAAAATTTTAACAGTGATGTCTTCCTTTAAAAAGCATTAGAAATTAAAATAGAAAAAAAAGAGGGTAAATATCTTTTATTGGTAAAGTCTGAGATATTTTATTCTTGCTGACACTATTGTTAAAGACTCCATGAAATTTAGAGATCATAATTTTCAATAATCTAAAAGAAAAACAGTGAAACCATGTGAGACATTCTTACCCATTGCAGGTGTAGCCAGAGTCTGGCGTCCCACTAGCTGACCAGGGCCAAGGCCATCCAGAAAATCGCTGAACTGGCTGTCAGAGGCCAAGCGGACACCAGGAAAAATCAGACTGGAGCAAAAGAAAACATGGGATGAAAGCCTTAACTCCTGTTCACTTCAGGCGAGCTCAGGTTTCCCTCTAACCTCCTCAATGAGGCGGGAGAGTCAGTCACACTGTTTTGCCACATATGTCGACTGGACTCCAATACCCACTCCCCTTCCCATGGCTTGGCCCCCATATTCTTCTGCAGCCCATGCGTGTTGCCAGAAGCATGTACCACATGGCACAGCAGGTTTCTGCTTCCAGGTCTTTCTCTTTGATGTGGAGGGCAGGGACTGTGACTTCTATGAATAACACTCAGCACATGTTGAGTACTTATTCCAAAACAGGCTTTATCATAGTTAATCCTCTTAGCAGAAATATGAGATGGATTCTATTTTTTCTCCAATTTTATAGATGAGGAAATGCTTCTGGATCATTCTCATCAGCATATACGTATGCTGTTAATTTCTTCTACCTTACCAAAAAAAACCCAAAAAACAAAAAACTCTTTCCTGACCCAACTTCCCTCTCCGGCTACCCCCTCATTTCACTCCTCTAATTCTCTCTTAAAAGTCTAATCAAGTCTTCATTTTCACCATTCCACTAAAATGTCTCTGAACATTTGACACAATTGACCCTCCCTCTTCCTTGAAACGCCTTCTCCCCTTTGCTTCCTGGGCCCTCTGGTCTCCTGGTTTTCCTCTTTTCTCTTCTTCCATTCCACCTTAATCTCCTCTGCTAGCTCTGCCACTAAATACTAGAGCTTGATCCTTTGACCACTTTTCTACATGTCTGAATTCTCTAGGAGATCTCATCCAGCCTCATGATCTTATTCTGTCTATACTACTATTGCCTACATCTCCAGCTTGGACTGCTCCCTTGGGCCAGAGACCTGTATTCTAACTGCTTAGTCTTTACACCTGCTTGCATACGTAATAGGCACCTGAAACCTAACGTCCAACACTGACATCCCATCTCCCCAAAACACACAAACAAAAAACCAAACTCTGGTCCGCTCAAAAGACTCCCATTTTGAGAAATGGCTTCATTCTTCCAGTTTCTCAAACTTGGAGCTATCTTTTTTCCATCCTCTCTATTATGGACTGAGTTGTGTCTCCCGCAAATTCATATGGTGACGCCCATTTAAAAAGATGAGGTTATATGAGGCCATGAAGATGGAGCCCTAATCCAGTATGACTGGTGTCCTTGTAAGAAGAGAAAGAGACACCAGGGGTATCCAGGGAGAGAAAAGGCCATGAGAAGACCCAACAAGAAGGCAGCCATCTGCAAGTCAAGAAGGGAGGCCTCAGGAGAAACTATACCTTCTGACACCTTGATCTTGCACTTCTAGCCTCTATGTCCATGAACAAATAAATTCCTGTTGTTTAAGCCACCCAGTCAGTGGTACTTTCATATGGCAGCACTAGCAGACTAATACACTCTCTCTCAATATCCACATCAAATGCATCAATAAATCCTATTTGCTCTTCTGTCAAAATACATCCAGAATCTGACCTCACTAATGCTTCCACATGATCCAAGCCACTGTGACCTAGCTTTGGTGTCACTGCAATGGCCTTCTCAACAGCCTCCCTGAGGCTGTCCCAGCTGTAACCCCAGCTCCTACTGCAGTCAGATAGGTCTGTGAAAATGGAAGTCAGAGCCCATCAGTCCTCTGCTCAAAACCCTCCAGTGACCTCTCGTCCCACTTGGAGTAAAAGGTCCTGACAACACGAAAGACTATAAGAGTTGTCATCCAGCCCATGCCCTGATTCCTCATTTGTCACCCTTTTGCCCTTACTCCAGTGTTGCACCCTCAGCTCCTGCTGTATAACCTGTACTGCTTTAGCCTGTAATGTCCTTCCCTCAGATATTCATCTGCTCACTAACTGCCTTCAGCTCTTCACTCAATGTGTCCTTTCCCCATTTACCCTGCCTTTACTTTTTTCCTTAGCACTTAATGCTGCCTGCTCTCCTATGGACCACTCTCTTGGGCTACAGACTTGCATCTCATCTTGCTTAGTGGACATATCCGCCATTTTGCCATTTTTATTTTCCTAATTTTTCTTGTGCTTATATTTTAACAATTTTTCTTACTTATTGTCTCTCTTCTCTGTTAGACTTAGTTTGTTGAGGGTAGGATTTTTTTTTCTTTTGTCTGTTTTGTTTATCAATGTATCTCTAGCAACTAGAACCACACCTGAAATACTGTAAGCATTCAATAGATACTTGCAAGTTTAATCAATTAAAATGGAGCATAGCAAAATTAAATACTTTGCCCAAGGTCCTATAGTACCAAAAAACACCAGATGAGAACTCAGACCTATATGATTCTAAGGCCCATGGTTTTAACCACGAATATAGACTCTCTTGTATGACTTATATCTACAACAGTGACTGGAATACTGGAATGTATAGTCATGTTTATTGAATGAATTTATGAGTATTCATCCCATTTCTCCAATAAGACTGTAACATCCGGAGTAGGAGCCACAGTTTAAACGTTTTTCCATCCCTAACAGTGACTGACATAGAGCTTTGGTGACGATCAGTGCTCAGTACGCATTCATTTTTCATTTGATTCTTCTTCTCTTTTTAGACTTCGTGTTTCTTTCCCCAACCTCAAGAGTTAATACAACTATTTTAGTTGTGTTTTAGTGTGTTTCCATAAATATCCCACATGACCCTATTTCTAAATGTATGGAAACCATCTGCACCTCTTGTGTTTATGGTGCTGTATTAGACAAATTCTCCTGAGGACATATCATTTATACATGGCAACAGCTCCTATGGTCTCATGTCTGTGAACTGGCCACAAGCATGTTGCCTAAACAGTTAAAGCTTCTATGGTGATGACAGAATGAGGCCAGTAAACCCCTCTTTCCTCCATTAATGTCATTTACAGCCCCATTTACAGACCTTTAACTGCTAATTACTGTGAATTTGTTGGTGACCGAGCTACACAATCTACAAATGCTTTAACAACATCTGAGACAGTTGATTCAAAGAAAAACTACATGACAACTACATAAACAAAGGTTCACTAACTTTTTTGGTAGCATTTCTTTCCGTCTACTATATTTAATGTAATTAAATTACATTAAGTAATTATGATTGTTCGTTACAGCATGGAATTAGGTATGTATCAGCATTCCATATTTTTAGTAATAACTCTTAGCAGCAATTTTGAAGACTAGCATGGTTCACATGGTATGACATATGTGCTTATTATTTTTGTGCTTTTATATATTATTTCAACCTAGAGCAAATTCCTTGATTTGCATGTCTTATCACATTTTAGTTTCTTGTCATTAAAGCAAAACACTTTATTCCCAAACCTATTTCCCTTGATATAAAAAGCTAGACAGGACACACTAGTCAGGTGAGCAGAGTTCTCTTCACAGAAAATCAGCCAGCGAAAAGTAAAATGGCTCTGAGAGTGTGTGCATGGGCTTGGGCGAAGCACAGAGTGGGTTGGACGGGGCACGAGAGAGACAGAGGGGCGGCTGACTCACTTTCCCTCCGAGCTGTAGCTGTTCATGCTACCGTCTGTAGACTCACGGCTGGCCTGTCGTGTCATCCAGTTCCTCATTTCCACTGCCAGGCCTGTTTCTGTGCTTCTCTGGACAGTGCTCCGGAGTTTTTTACCTCCTGCTTCTGCAGAGACGGAAACAAAAGGTGTAACAGTTTTGTCATCACTATCTGGTAACAACAACAACAACAAATCAGCCAACACCAAGATCCTCAGATGAAAAGAACTGTGTAGATGCAAAGTGCTTTTATTAAGGATACAAAGAAAAGGTACTTAAGATCATTTTAAACAATATCTTGTTGAGTGGGATGAAAATTTTCTAAAAAACCTTTAAGACCCACAAAAAAGTATTGTTTTACTTCCATTTAAAACAGTGTTCAAATTGTTAACATAAGAAAGAAAAAGATTCAACCTAAGGAAAACAAAATGCTTTGCTTTCATTGTAACATTTAAACGCCAGGTTAATTTATACCTATTCTTCTGTTTTCATTGTAATATTTAAATGCCAGATTAATTTCTGCCTACCCTATTTTTCCTTTTCTTTTTGTCATAGTACAAGAAACAGCCTTCACACTATTTACAAAGAACAGATGGTGACTAATCCTCAAATTCTAGCCTTAACTTTCACAAGAAAATCTGTTTTTATAGAGTGATAGATATTAGAAGGCAAAAAAAAAAAAAAAAAATCGGTACAAAGGAAATAGCCCAATTTGCCCAGTTTCACATCTGTTGGTAACTTTCAGAAAGATTTTCAGAGAGGAATATAAAAATCCCAGCAATATCAGAGGAAAAAGAGCTTTTTAATTTTTGGTTACAGAGTCTCTTGTCCTCAGGTATCTTCAACAGCTTGGTAATGAGGTTCATTTATAGAAGCCAATCATCAGAAGACCAAACAGGAAACTGAGTCAAGTGCTACCAATGCCACGGGGCAGAGACTGTCATCTGAACAGGTCAGAAACTCCTGAAAAGGAGTTTCATAGAAGGCGTGGAATTTGAGCTGGGCTTGAAAAATAGACAGATTGGGACTTAGGGCAAGGTGGGAAGAGGATGCCTTGGGCAAAGGAAACAACACGGACAAAGGTGCCAAGACAGGGATCGCCACGTGCATTTAAGGGAGGTGCAGTGACCAGAGCACGTGCAGGAGGAATTGGGGTATGGATTAGGCAAGAAACTAAGCCCTGATAACAAAGACTTGAATGTTGGAAGATGAAGTTGAGGGACTAGCAAAGCTGGTGCAAGAGGATGAGAGTCTAAATTATTTACTTCCTGTCAGGCCTCAATATTTATCCATATCAACTGTACATATCATTAGCTTTTGGGTATACAACCATATGGTAAGCTCTTTGAGTGCCTGCTACTAAGATTTTACACCTATAAATATTTGCTGGTATTCCCAGTAACTTTATGGAATCTTTTTTCACTGAGCCTCTTGTACGTGCTCACCATTTTGAAACACTGCTTTAAATTTCATCCATTCTCTACTTCTGACTTTAAGGTATGCCAAAATGCTTTAAAGAGTATATACAAAACATGAATTATGACCGATCTATAATTAGTTACATAATCTAAGGCTGATATTTTAGACAATTTATAGTTAACATGTTGTACTGATATGAACTGTAAGAAAACATAAAGTATCCCCCATTGATGAGGGAAAGCTCTTCTTTACAGAGGAATATGAATTAGTAAAAGAAATGATAAAATTTAAAAATTACCAATATGCAACCTCCAATGGGATAAATGATTTAAGCGAGGCTCATCAATGGAGGCTAATGCCTTTAGATCAAAGGATGGGAAAAGGGTATTCATATGAGCCAAATCATCATTCCACAAATTAGTTATAATTGTTAAAGAAAGAAATAAGTACTTTAACACTGGGAGACCTGGCCATCACCATCAGAAACACTAACAGTGGAGCAATCATATGTACCTCTTGATGTAAAATACAAAGTAGCACTTATCAGTTGTTCTAGACAAAAATATACCACCAGTTTCTATTCAAGTCTTTGGAACCAACTTCCAGGTTTCAAAAACAGAGAAGACAAAAACAAAAACAAGATATCTCTCTCTCTCTCTCTCTCTCTTTCACAAACACACACACACACATCAGACAAATACAGGACATGAGATATTATTGAAGAAAATTAGCCTAATCTCTTTTTAAAAAGTTCACATTATGAACACAAACAAACAAGGTGAGGGAACTCTTCCAGATTAAAAGACATCAAAGAGCTGTAACCATCAGATCCTATGAGTGTACTCTGGCTTCTTGCCTGGGAAAGCAAAGCAAAACGAGAAACTCCAGAAACAAAACGTATAAAAGTAATTTCAAGACAGGTAGGAATAAAATTGAATATGTATTAAATATTAGATGGGTTCAGGAAATTGTTATTTTTTTAAGGCGAATAATAGCATGTATTAGAACTTCCTTATCATTGGGAGATACATGCTAAAGTACTTAAACCTGAAATGTTACACTGCTTGCAATTTACTTTTAAATGATTTGGCAAAACAAACAACACATATGTAAAAAAAAAATGGAGAATGTTAAGAAGAAAACAGACGAGGATGCAGAGTGGATTTTGGTATTCATGAATTTAATATTTATGATTTTATTTAAAAGTGAACCTCAAATAACTATATTAAAAAGTAATACAATTTTGTCCAAGTGTGAATTGAAATTATGGAAGGTGCTGGCTGGTGTGAAAGAGTCAGGCCAAGGGCTGAATTCCTGTTTCTCCATGTAGCTGAAATGTTCACTTCCAATGAACAATGCCCTTGTGAAACATTATCATCAAACGAGACACACAATTTCAGTGAAGAATGAAGATATGTACGGGAAACATATGACTTGCAAAGGAAATGAGATTCCTAAAAATCTCAGAACATTCCCTTTGCAATGTCAAAGATCAACTTTTTAAAAAAAAAAATTTAAGTTCTGACTCCATCATAGCTAACATGACTTGAAAATCTGCTACCATGGGATGATGAGGAGCAGCGCCATTTGTCAAACAGCAACAATACAGTGAGCATGTAATCCTTTTGTTTTGCAGGTTGTTTTTTACATATATGCTCTTCATAATAACTCTCAAAATCCCTGTTTTACAGATATAGCATCCAAAGGCCCGGAAGATTACACAATTCACTGAAACCACATGGTAAGAGACACAACCGGGATTTGTACACAGTTCCCAGACTCCAAATTTTCTGCTATTCACTACTTTGTTGTCAGAATATACTTGTATGGGTAGGTTGAGACTATACTACACTAACTCTGGAAATGCATATGGAAGGCCCTGTTAGAAGCAGCTTTGTAGGGTAAGAACTGCAGAGCACAGTGAAGAGGTCAGGCCCTGGAGGCAGTTTGAACTGCTTCTCCTTAAATCCTCATTCTACCATTTACAAGCTGGGTGACATCGACCAAATGACATACTTGCTCTGTGACTCAGCTTTCTCAAACTGAAATGACAATGATAATAAGAATACTGACCTTAGGATTTTTGTAATAGTTAAGAAAAATAAATTTAAAATGCTTAGAAGAGTGTCTGATACATAGAAAATCTTCAATTAATAGTTAATGTTATTGTTATTACTGTTATTATTATTACCAGATAATCAGAAAACATGTATTCTAGGTCAGTCTCTAACACAAACTAGAGGACTTTGTGGTTCTCTCTGAGTCCTATCCCCTGAGTCTCTGGCTTCTCATTTATAAAAAAAGATGGAGGAGGAAGAAAGATTATCTCTGATATATTTTAGCTCACTAAAACCTGTGAATTTCTGTCATTAGTATATGACCAAGACCATAATTAATAGCATACATTGAGGAGACATGCTACTCACTGTCATCTGATAGAATCAAAGACTTCTAGCTAATATACTGAGCACTTATAATAGTCCTTTAAAACATGTCATTTTTTCCCTAGATAAGGTAGGAGAAAAAAGTGTATTTTTAAATGTTCTATTATCTAATACATCTATGACTTATTTTAGAAATAATTCATTTTTCAGCACCACAAAATCTTTAGTTCCATTTACAATTAAAGTTATTTAACCTAGATATAATTCATGGCAATTCACATTTATTGTTCTAAATGACCTGTCATGTTATTCAAACTAAAAACTGAATTTTTATAGTAGTGAGGGTCTATATAAAATTAAGTATGTTGGGCAGAATTCTAAGATGACTCCCATGATTATGTTACTTTACCTGGCAGAAGGGATTCTGCAGATGTAATTAAGGTTACTAATCAGTTGACTTAAAGATAAGATTATCTGAGTCCACCTAACTTAACCACATATGAACCCTTTCAAAGCAGAGTGCTTTCTCTGACTGGTTCCAGAAGAGGAAATCAGGAAGACCTGAAACACAATAAAAATTCCATGTACCTCTTCCTGCCATAAGAGGGATGGCCATGTGGAAAGGAACTGAGAGCAGCCTCCAGCTACTGAGAGTGATGCCTTGATGATGACAAGCAGCAAGAAAATGGGGACTTTAGGTTGACAACTACAAAGAGTTGGAATGGCCTCGGAAGCAGATTTTCTCCTTCAGATCTTCTAGACAAGAACTCAGTCCAGGTAACATTTTGATTTCAACCATGTGATAGCCTGAAGGGAAAACCTGGTCATACTGTGCCAGACAGGTGACCTACAGAACTGTGAACTAATAAATGGGTGTTGCTTTCAGCTGCTAAGTTGTGATCATTGTTATACTGCAATGGAAAACAAACTAAAATTTTATTCCTTTTTGGGTAATTTTTTTAAATGGGGAGACTTGTGAAAATATCCTATTATGACCACCGAGTTTATAAAAACTTAGCCAAGATAGAAAAGATTTTTTTTTTAGAACTGGAGTCTCACTCCATTGCTCAGGCTGGAGTGCAGTGGCATGCTCATGGCCACCCCAGTATCAACCTGCTGTGCTCCAGTGATCCTTTCGCCTTAGCCTTTCAAGTAGCCGGAACTACAGGTGCATGCTACCATGCCCGACTAATTTTTGATTTATTATAGAGATGAGGTCTCACCAGGTTGCTACCGGGGTTCAGGCAATTCACTTGCCTCAGCCTCCCAAAGTGCTGGGATTACAGGTTGGGCCACTGAGTCCAGCCAAAAGTGTATGTTTTTA